TGGGGGGGGTGCGCCCCAGGCCTGGACCTACCGCACCCGCAGCAGCCGGTTCCGCTCTGCCTTCCCCGAGGCCCCCCTCTCCTGGAGGCACTTCCTGGCAGCCGGGGCCTCTGCTCGGGCTGACTTGCGGGCGTCCTCCAGCTGCCTCTCCTGGATCTCGATGTGCCACATGGCGCTCCTTGCAAACAGGAGGCGCTTCTGTTTACGCTGGCAAAGGGATTGGAGAGCCGGGCCACGCCCCCCGCGCAGCGTCCACTCCAGGGCTCCGCCACCGAGTCTGGCCAACACCCAGGCCCCTTGTCTCCTGCAACACTGCCCTGCTCTGTCCCTGAAGCCCTGCTCTCTGGGCCCAGGGACGCAATGACCGTGCCACGTGGCACCCGCCACGAGCTTCACGCTTCGCTTACATGCCTCTCATTCCCATGCAAACAGGCAGGGACTCCCAGTGCTTTACTCGCTGCTGACCCTACATGCTTCCATCGGGGTCTGATGCTCAGCAAGTGCTCAGTGACCATGAGTGACGCCATCTAGGCCACCGAGCCCCAAGTTCACACGTGCCCCTGAAGGAAGCCCTTGGGGACAGCAGACGCCTGCTGCGTGGGCCGCCTGCCCTCAGCCCATACTTGGGGGGACTCATTGACGTCCCTGCGGCCTGGGGTGCCCTTGAGCCTGGGCACACAGACTGGCAGCAACACAGGAGGGCCCTGAAGTCACGTCCCCCCAAGAATAGGTTCAAGGGGTCACTACGTGGTCCAAGGGGATGCTGACCAGGAAGGGAAACCAGGTGGGCTTCCAACGGGAGCCAGTGAGAGCCCCGGGCTGCCCTGCTCAGTGATGAAGCAGACAGCAGTGGACTCTACGGCCATGAAGGGAGACACCGGCCATGCACGAGGACATGAATGCCTCTCATGGCTGCTGTGTGGCATGGAGGAGACGGGCACGGGGAGTAAACGCTGCAGGGTCTCACACACTTAACACTAAGGGGCAGAGGACACCCGCGGTCACCTGGGGTCAGCACTGCTGACGGACAGGATGCACAAGGGACGTTTGACATACATTTTCCTGCATATAAATTAGACCTAAATAAAGCTGATTAAAAAGAAAGTAAATGGGCAGCAGCCACGCCCACATGAGAAGGGGCAGGCAGGTGGGCTATGGGGGCTCAGGGCCAGCCGCAGCGGGGCAGGGTCAGCAGACCGGTACTTGGCGGGAGGAGAAGCGAGCAAAAACACTGAAGGTAATGACAGACAGGTTCCAACTGTCAGAGAAGAAGTGTCCCATCAGACAGGGGAGATGAGGGTGCACCTCTGGTTCTGTTGGAGCTGGAATCACGGGGGTCAACTCCTGGTTCTAACGCAGACACACAGAGACATGCACGTGCTTCCCAGTGGGGCCACCTGGCGCCCAGCCCTAGGTCCCTAAACACCACTCTCCCCTGTGAGAAACCAAGGCTGTGGCTTGGTCCGGACAACCAGCTAGGTCTAGGACTAGGGCGGACAGGAAACAAGTGGGCTAGGAACACGTCGTTACCCCAGAAAGCACTCGAAGAACGACAGGGAGCCTGCTTGAAAGAGGTGCTAACTGGCCCAATTGGGGGTGACTGGAGCATCAAAATAAATAATGATGATGGGACTTCCCTGGTGGCACAGTGGTTAAGAATCCGCCTGCCAATGCAGGGGACACGGGTTCGAGCCCTGGTCCGGGAATGTCCCACATGCCGCGGAGCAACTAAGCCCGTGCGCCACAACTACTGAGCCTGAGCTCTAGAGCCCACGAGCCACAACTACTGAGCCCACGCGCCTAGAGCCCGTGCTCCGCAACAAGAGAAGCCACCACAATGAGAAGCCCACGCACCACAACAAAGGGTAGCTCCCGCTCGCAGCAACTAGAGAAAGCCCGTGCACAGCAACGGAGACCCAATGCAGCCAAAAGTAAATAAATTAATTAATTAAAAAAAAAAGATGGAGCAGGTTATAACCCACTGCATAGAACAGAAGTCAAGAGTCTACACTGACACATAAAGAAACATGGGGAAGAGAACGCTGTTCTTTACAGCGGAACGCTAACTCGTACATTTAGAAGGAATTACGGAATTAGAAAATTGCCCTTTGGCAACCATCATCATAACTGATTCAAGCGAGAAGCATCAATAAATGCAAACACCAGAGCGTGAAAGGGATGAGGATGGGGTTTTCCAGTCTCACAGTATGTACCACAAATTCCATGTTAGTTTCCAAAGGAAAAGCGTGACTCTGCATTGAAGAAACCCTGCATGGGACTTCCCTGGTGGTCCAATGGGTAAGACGCTGTGCTCCCAATGCAGGGGGCCCGGGTTTGATCCCTGGTCAGGGAACTAGATCCCACATGCATGCTGCAACTAAAGATCTCACGTGCTGCAACTTAGACCTGGTGCAGCCTAAATAAATAAATAAAATAAATATTTTTTTTAAAAGTGTAAACTTTAGGGACTTCCCTGGTGGTCCAGTGGTTAAGACTCCGTGCTCCCAATGCAGGGGGCCTGTGTTCGATCCCTGGTCGGGGAACTAGATCCCGCATGCTGCAACTAAGACCCAGCACAGCCAAATAAATAAATAAATATTTTTTAAAAATGTGTAAACTTTAAAACCAAAAAAGAAACCCTGCACACCCCATCTCGATCAAGTGACCAAAGTTCCCCCACTGGAAATGGGACCGGTGGCCATCGTACGCCTTGTTGGCAGGGGTGGGGGCGGGGGGCAGCACCTGGGGGATTCTAGACCACCGCCCCGAGGAAACATCACACAAAGGCAACCTGGGGGACAGTTCGTGGCCCGGATGCTTCAAAACCATCAAGGTCACGAGCGTCACGGGAAGACTGAGGGTCTTTCCTACTGGACGTGGGGCGACCCCATGCAACCCTCCAAGTGTGAAGTGTCACCGGGATGGTGGGGAGGGCAAGGGGACACCGGGGGTTCTTGGTGCTATTTCTGCAACTCTTCTGTGAATTTGAAATTGTTTCAAAATTTAGAAGTTTTTTAAAAAACTAAATGGACCATACAGTGATCCGACACAGGCAGGGCCCCAGGGGCTTTGCGGCGCTGGTGGGGACCAGCCTGGTGCCAGTTGGTGCAGAGAGGAAGCTGCCGAGACAAGCTCCGCGTACAGGATTTGACACAGCACAGCCGTCTCCTCGCCGGGGTGGGGGGAATGCTCTCAGAAAAGGTGTAAAGCTCTTTTAAAAATCATGCTGGTCGTTCTTTGGAGGCTCAAAGAGCAGGAAAAAAGGAAAAAGAAGCTGATTTCACAGTTCCTGAGAACTCAGACAAACATGGAGAATGCGCAAAACACTTAAACAATGGAAAGTCTCAGCTACCTTTCAATTTTTAGGCAGCTTGAAAGTCAAGCACAAAATGTCATTCTTCATCTTCAAACCCGTCCCTGCTCGACGGCCTGGACTTACACGCTGTCCTGCAGCACGGCCGTCATCTTCGCCTGCAGGTCCCCCTCGTTCCCCAGCTCTGAGCACAGGCGCTGGGACGCTTCCTCGAGGCGACCCACGGCTGCCCTGCAGAGGGCAAGTGGGTCAGGGCCTCAGGGGCTGCAGGCCTTCAGGCTCAGCGATGCCTTCGCCTGACTTTTCCTCTAAACTGGCTGACTGGGAAGGCAGGGCTGTGGCCGAAGAAAGGCTTCTCCTGGGCCCACTTCGTTGATCTGAGCCCGCTCCTGCCCCCTCCCGCCCCCTCTCCACTGGCCTCTCATTCTTCCAAGGATGTGGAGCCAGCCCCCTGGTTGCCAGCCCCTCAGGAAGGACCCGCACACTCACCTAACGACTAGAGGCATCTCAGGGGCCAAAAAGCCACTGAGAGGCCCTCTTGGCCGAGCCCACTCTGAGACCTCCTACTTCATCTCCCTCTGCCCTCCCGGTCACCCAAGCCCAGTTACACTCTGAGATGTAGCCACTTCGCGGGGACGCTCAGATGAACAGGGTGGGTGGGCGGGCGCAGGACAGAGAGGTGCACCGCCCCGCAAGACACCCCTCTACGGTCAGGAGAGGGCGGGGGCATCTCTCGGAGGGCAGCCTGGAGGGACACTGACCGGAGGGCTCTGGTCCGCGGGCACGTGACCTGGCGTCCTCGCCTGCTGCCCCGGGCCCTGCACTCGCCGCCCCACCCCAGCCATTGTGCCGCTGTCCCTACCACTCACCTCCCAGCCTGCAGGTCCCCTCCTCAGGGAGGCCTCCCCTGGCCACCTGCCTCAAAGTGACCGCCCCTCCTGACTCGTGGCCACCTGACTCCTGATGTCCACTTGGGTTGCCCGATTCCCACACGGCCGGGAAGTGGGTCCGCCCCCACCCCCGCGCCCGCCGGCCCCAGGGCCCCACCTCCGACCTACATGTTGCCGGTGGCTCTCTCCGCGGCCAGGCCGGCCGCCACGCTCTCCTGCTGCTTGGCGAGGAGCCCCATCCTCTGGCGGCAAGCACGCAGCTCCTCCCTGAAAGTTGGAGCCAGCATCCGTAAGCGGCTCCCTGCACCCCAGGCGCTCCGATCGGGGCGGGGCCGGCAGCTGGCACAGGCTCTCCTGCGGGCATCTCAAGCATTTAGGAGTAAAGTTTCATGATGTCATCAATTTGCCTTCAAGTTTCAACCTTTCTGTGTTTGAAATTTATCTTTGCAGACATTGGAGAACACACTGCAGTGTCGCCGTCAATCGGACAGGAGTGGAGGGCGGCAAACGCCGCACAGATGGGCCCCGGCCAGAGCCCGGCCCGCCCCGCTCACCTCGTTTTCTGAATGAAAAGGTCTTTCTCTTCATGCAGCTGGTCTAGGTGGCTCAAGTCCCTCCGCAGGAGTGAGGCCTGCATTCTGTCCTGGACGTCTGGTCTCTGCTTCCTCTTGTCTGCATTCTGCTCTTTCCCCGGACTTAACATGGAAAGGACGCCCGCTGCCATCCCGTGGGGAGCGCGTCCTGCCCCTCCCCCTCCCCCTGCCCCGGGTGAATTACCAGGAGCTTCCTGGGTCCGCCTTGTTCTCAGCGTCCCCAGGGACAGAGCCCAGCACAAACTCCGGATCCTCCAGTTCATCTGTTTCTAGAAATAGAGCGAGAGCTAAAACAATAGAACGCAGATGGAGACCTTCAAGCCCGAAGTTCCAGGGTAAATCCTGACACACACACACTGGGCAATGATGGGATGGCCGCTCAGAGCAGTGGTTCTCAAAGTGTGGCCCAGGGAACCCTTCCAAGGGGTCTGCAGAGTCAAAACTATTTTCATAACAATAGCAAAACACTATTGTCTTTCCCAGCCTTGTTTCATGAGCGTAGAGCGGAGTTTCCTAAAGGCCACATGACAAGATCTCAGAGCAGACTAGTCAAAGGCAGACGTGAAATCCAGCTGCTGCTCTTAAGCCAGGCTCTTCAGGTTACATACAACAGGTTCATTATTGCCATTTTAAGCAATAACAAAAAACTGGGAAACTACAGCCGGCCACTGAACTTCAAAGTCTCAGCCACGTGGATCTTTCTTCTGATTAAACACAGAATAATATAAGCTACCTTTTTGAGAAAAAATATGAGTTTAAGAGATGTGGTCTCTCTGAAAAAAAGGAAATTAAAGGGCAACTATTAAGCACATCGTTTGTCTTCTGTGTGTTGAAACGTGTCTTATTTGTGAAAAGACCTTTCTTAATTACCATCCTCCACAAGGGGGGCGTCGTCCAAAAGCTTCTTAGGGAACAGGCTGGCATCTTCTTCCATCTTGGGAGGCAGAAATTAGCTACAAAAATTTTTACAAAACATAGATGACACATTAAAAAAAAACTAAAAATCCGGATTTCATAAGAGTTAACAATTTCTCTTGTAAAAAGACATTAGGGCTTCCCTGGTGGCGCAGCGGTTGAGAATCTGCCTGCTAATGCAGGGGACACGGGTTCGAGCCCTGGTCTGGGAGGATCCCACATGCCGTGGAGCAACTAGGCCCGTGAGCCACAACTACTGAGCCTGCATGTCTGGAGCCTGTGCTCCGCAACAAGAGAGGCCGCGATAGCGAGAGGCCCGCGCACCGCGATGAAGAGTGGCCCCCGCTTGCCACAACTAGAGAAAGCCCTCGTACAGAAACAAAGACCCAACACAGCAAAAATAAATTACTAAAACTCCTACCCCCAACATCTTAGAAAAAACAAAAAAAACACAAAACAAACAAACAAACAGCAAAGCATATTAAAAAAAAAAGACATTAAGAAAATGAAGAGAGGCCACAGAATCTGAAAAAATATTTGCAGCACATATATGTAACAGAGGTCTGGTACTCAGATTATATATAAAGAACTCCTAAATAACAGCAATAGAAAGTCCAAACCCCAACTGAAAAGGGACAAAAATTTTAGAACAGACACGACAAAAGAAGATGCACGAATGACCATAGGCTCATGGAACTTTGTCATCATTAGTCACTAGGGAATCAAATCAAAACCATAACCAGACACTACTACACACCTGTTAGAATGCCCCAAATCAAAAATACCAAATACGAAACCATAACACTAGATGCTATCAACATATACTAACCATGGGACCCAGAAATCCTACTGTGAGGTATTTATCCAAGAGAAACAGAAGTATGTCCCCCAAAAAACTTGTACAGGAATGCTCACAGCAACCTTACGCACAACAGCCGCAAAATGGAAACAATCCAAATGTCCACCATGATGAGAACAGATTCTGAGAAACAGATTCTGGCACATTCATACAACGGAATAATAGTGATAAAGAGAACGAGGTCTGATGCAAAGAGCACCACGGATGAATCTCAGAAACGCAGTGTTAAGTGCAGGAAGCCAGACACAGAAGAGCACGTGTGAAGCCCCAGAACACGCAGGACTAAAGGGTGATGATAGAAATGAGACGCAACTTCTGGGTTAGAGGCAGGGGATGGGGACGGCGGGGGGCTACGAGGAACTGGGGGGAGGACGGAAACGGTCTGCATCTTGTTTTGGGTGGTGGCTACACAGGTGTACACAAGTGTCAAATTCACACTAGTGAACATTTAATTTGCGTGCTCGTTACAGCGTGTACATGTTGTCTCAATAAAATGCAGGCACAGAGTCCAGAGACAACTCCTAAGGGGTTTCACAATACTCATTACAGTTTGATAACCATTTCGGGAACATTGGGAGATGCCTGTGTAGAACTTGGTACTGATGTTGATATTAGATGTTGATATTAAATGTTGATATTATGGACGAGGTGCTGAAGCTGTAGACCAGTTTGTTTTCATTGCTGAATTTAGCAACTGCTCCAGAATAAGTCACTGAAAAATATTTTCAAAGCCTAATAATGTTTCCTTGATAAATCATTAATAAGTCAATGCCAGTCATTTATTTTTTAAATGCTACAAAAAACCCCTTTGTGCATTAAAGCCCTGAGAGGCAGAATTTTGAGGCATCTTGTAAAATACCAACAATATTCCTCCCAACTGAAGACAGCTCTTAGTCTACCAGCTTGCGGATGGTGCATGCGGGGCTTTCAGAAGATGCTTGCAAAGTGGTCCAGTGCGTGCGGCCCTGGGCTCGTGAGTTCCATGCGCTCATCACATCGCGTATCAAACACAGTGTAACCAACGCCCCCCCGAGGGTGACACTCTGCTAAGAGGAGGGACGTCTCACACGGCTCCACCTGCAGTGACAACATCAAACCACACACGCTCTGAATGTCCAGCTAAAGACGGTGGTTCCAGACAGGGGGTCCCTGATCCCCTTCAAATCCTCACTAGAACAACCGTGGCAGGATTCAGTGTTTTCAGGACATGAGTCTACAAGGATGAGGCAGACGTGAGAGGAACAGTGGGAACACAACAGGAGCCAGTGTGCAGAAGGGCACGCGGTGAGGGGCCCCAAGGCCCCGCGGGCATCGCACAACCTGGGGGTCAGGAGCCGGGCGCCTCTGACGTGCGGGTGAAGTGGGATCAAACACAGAGATTTGCTAAAATGTGCTTAAGAAGCACATGGACCTTCTGTTTGAGAATTGGCTGGCCAGCGTGCAAATAACCAAAAATGCTGGAAAAATTGTATTTTAATTGTCTTAAGGGTCTTGAAGAATTGACATGATGAAATTATCATGTCAAAACCTAAGTGAAGACAGAACTACAAATAGATGAAGTGACCAAGCTAAAGAAAAGTGTCTTATCAACCACCAAAAATCTAACTTTTTACTATTTTTTTTTTAAATTTATTTATTTTTGGCTGCACTGGGTCTCTTCGTTGCTGCCCGCGGGCTTTCTCTAGTTGCAGAGAGCAGGGGCTACTCTTCATTGAGGTGTGCAGGCTTCTCATTGCAGTGGATTCTCTTGTTGTGGAGCACGGGCTGTAGGCACGTGGACTTCAGTAGTTGTGGCGCATGGGTTAGTTTCTCTGCGGCATGTGGGATCTTCCCAGACCAGGGCTCAAACCCGTGTCCCCTGCATTGGCAGGCGGATTCTTTTTTTTTTTTTTTTGCGGTACGCGGGCCTCTCACCGCTGTGGCCTCTCCCGCTGTGGAGCACAAGCTCCGGACGCGCAGGCTCAGCGGCCATGGCTCACGGGCCCAGCCGCTCCGCGGCACGTGGGATCCTCCCAGACCGGGACACGAACCCGCGTCCCCTGCATCGGCAGGCGGACTCTCAACCACTGCGCCACCAGGGAAGCCCACTTTTTACTATTTAAAAGAGAATTCTAAAGCAATAACGTACAGAAGCACTGCATTTTCAAAGTCAGACAAAGATGCCCTATATAGAAACTGTAACAGGAAGCTGGTGGCGTTGTCTAGAAACAGACAAAAATACTTTAGGCAAAAAGCAGTAACAGCAGTAAGAGGGTCAGGTCATCACCAGAGGCTCAGCTCACCAGGAAGATACAACAGTGGTAAATCCACGTGTATTCAAACGCATAGCCACTAAATAAACAAAGCAAAGACTGGCAGAACAAGGAGAAAGAGTCAAAAGTACAAACTCTAGTGGGAGGTTTTAACACGCCTCTCTCAGGAACTGACAACAAAACCAGATAAAATAATTCATTAATGACACACATTTAAACAACATCATTAACAAACTGAACCCCACAGACATACATAGAACAAAAACAACTATGGAAATTTAAATGCTCCCCTAAACCATTACACAGAATATTTACAAAAACTATCTACCGGCCCCAAAGCAGGACTCAACAAATTTCAAAGAACTAAAATCATACAAAGCTTATTCTCTGAGCAAATTAATCAGCCCAAATCAATACAAATAGAGAAAAGCAAACCAGATGGGGGAGCAGGAAGACCCCTGAGCTCACCTTCTCCCGTGGACACAGAGAGAATCACCCTATTCACAGAGCAACTAGTGATGAGAAAGAGCAGAAGCTTAGAAGAAAAGACCGTCTACACCTGAAGATGTACAGGAGGACTCACAACAGGCGGGGCAGGAGGGGGCGGAGCCGCGGTGCAGTCAAGACCCAAAGCCCCAGGTGGGTAAGCTGAGCACGGGAGGATAATCACAACCACAGAGGGGCGCCCCAAGAAGTCAGGTTCCCCAGCCTGGGGGCCCTGCACCAGGAAGTCGAGCCCGAAGAACATCTGGCTCTGAAGGTAAGCGGGGCTTCCTTCCAGGGGAGCCAGAGGGCCGTGCGAAATAGAGATGCCGCTCTTAAAGGACACAAAATCTCACGTGCTCAGGGCCCAGGACAAAAGCAGGAAATGGAGAGGAGCCTGGGTCAGACCCACCTGCTGATCTTGGGGAGCCTCCTGGAGAGGCTGTGGGCCAGGGCAGCTCATCCTGGGGACACAGACACTGGTGGCAGCTCTAACACAAGGACACTGGTGCTGCAAGTGCCATTTCGGAATCCTCCCTCTGGCTTATTAGCGCCAGGACCTGCCCTGAATGCCAGCCTGTAGGTACCAGTATGGGGATGCCTCAGGCCCAGCAGTGAGCTGGGCAGGGGCATAGCCCCACCTGCCAGTAGGCTGGCTGCCTTAAGACTCCCTGAGCCCACAGCCACCCCAGGACCTCACGCTGTCCACCCGAGGGCCCAGGACCCAGTCCCACTCACCACTGCCCAGCACCAGCTCCGGGACCAGCGTCACCCACTAGCAGGCAGTACCAGCCCCAGGACGCCCTGGACCCTGGCCCTGCCCACCAGTGGGCTGATACTCCTACTCCAGGACTCCCAGGCCACTTACATCAATGGACAGGTCGTCCAGACAGAAAATCAATCAGGAAACACTGGCCTTAAGTGACACATTAGAACAAATGAACTTAATTGATCTATCTGGAACATTCCTTCCCCAGACAGCAAATACACATTCTTCTCAAGTATACACAAAACATTCTCCAGGACAGATCACATGCTAGGCCACAAAACAAGTCTCAATAAATTTAAGAAAATTGAAATCATATCAGGCATCTTTTATGATCACAATGCTATGAGACTAAAAATCAACTACAAGAAAAAAACTGCAAGAAACACAAACATGTGGAGGCTGAACAACATGCTAGTATGCAACCAATGGATCACTGAAGAAATCAAAGAAGAAATTAAAAGAATTCCTGGACACAAATGAAAATGAAAAGCAGATAATCCAAAATCTGTGGGATGCAGCAAAAGCAGTTATAAGAAGGAAGTTTATAGCAATACAAGCTTCCCTCAGGAAACAAGAAAAATCTCAAATAAACAACCTAACCGTACACCTAAAGCCTAACCTAAGTAGAGACAGCAGAACAAACAAAACTCAAAGTCAGTAGGACAGAAATCATAA